TCCTCTTTCCTTGTCTCCAGTTTCTTTCCCTCCTCCAAGGAATCCTGTGTCAAGCAGTTGTCTGTCTGAGGCAGTGAGAGACCTTCTCAAGTAAGCTATCAAGCTGGTATTTCCTGTTCAACTGGGTTTTTACTGTAGGCTTTTAATTGCCCTCAAGAAAAACAGTGATCAGAATCATGTCATTGACCTCTACTGTCTACATAAGTTTCTGGATCTTCCTCGTTTCACCACAGAGTTGTTTCTGTCTCTTCATTGGGTTTTCACTTCAGGTCTTTGAATGACTAAGTTCAACAATGCAGATGCATACCTTCATGTTCCCATTTCTCCATCCTCATGTTGTTTTCTTTAGTTCATCCATGAGGAATGTTTTAAAGTTCCAGGCTCTTCCATTTGGATTTGCCTCAACTTTCTATGTATTTTGTCAGGTAGTCCAGACCTTTGCTCGACATCTACATTTGTTAGGACTCTGGTCTCATCATTACATGGATAACTGGCTTCTTCTGGCTCCTTCTAGTTCCATGTCTTCCTACGACACCTGTTTGCTCCTGGAGGAGGCTGCTTGTGTGGGTTGGTTAATCAAAGTGGAGAAGTTCATCCTTTCCCCTCCTCAGTATCTAGTTCACATGGGAGTATCCTTAGCTTCCCACCTCAGTTGACCCAGCCTTCTCCACTATGGCTTCAGGATATGGAGCAGTTAGTTATCTAGGCCCTATTCTCTGTCAGCTCTTTTGGTGATGTAGTCTTCCTTGGAAGCTCTCATACCCCTTGGTTGTGATTACATGCATTCCCTCCAGTGTGGATTCCACGATTGTTGGCACTTCAGCTCAGGTCCCTTAGATCAACCAGTTGTCCTTCCTTTTTCCCTTTGGATTGACCTTGCTTGGTGGTTAGGCAGAGACAGTACTACGATTGGTATTCTTCTTCCACCTACTTGTCTGGACCTGCATCTTTTTACTGATGCTTCTTTTGTAGGTTGTGGTGCATATCTCAATACTCAGGAGATTTCATGAAGTTGGTTGTTGGCCGAATCTGGGCTTCATTTCAGTGTTGTGGAGCTCTTAGCTGTTCGTCAAGGTATGTCTCATTTCCTCCATCTTCTAAGGGAGAAGGTGGTTTTGGTGCATTTTGACAACTCCACAGTGGTCTCAAACACAACCAAGCAAGGAGGTACCAAATCCATGTTCCTTTTTTTTTACTTACAGAGACATCCCTCGACTCTCCAATTTCCGGTGGTTATGCTCTCACCTGGAACTCCCCATGTAGATGCATTTGCCACTTATCTGAACAACAACCTGCCATCTTTCTGGTTTCCGGGTCCTCATCCTGAGACTTTAGGGGTAGATGCCTTCTCTTGGTGGCTCTATTTTGGCCAGCTCAGCCTCGGTTCCCTCTCCTGCGGCTTGTACAATTTTCATCACTCTCTGTCTCCTCTCCTTTCGTCAACCTCATTTCTTGCAAGAAGACAGGATCTGACACTGCGTGTTGCTTTTCTTCTTTCCCTATTAGTCTGACCTTCCATATTGTTGGTTTCCAAACAACATTAAACTACTTTTTCTCATTCGTCTCTCTACGACATGGATACTGACCCTCCCATCCTTCCATTCTATACCTTTCATGGTTCATCAATCAGGATTTTTTGGTTTAAACAGTTTCTGGTTATAGAACAGCCTTGTTGATCATGTTTCATTTTTACCAGATTTTGCTGGGTCTTCTCCTCTTCTATCGTTTCCCCCCTGATTCGGTCCTTTTATGCTATTCGTCCTCACCGTGTCTTTCCTGTGCCTGATTGGGATCTCACTGTTGTCCTTTTTTCTTTTTCCTAACCTTTCTTTGAACCTTTGGCTTCATCTTCTCTGTATCATCTTTCCCTCAAGACCTATTTCCTTCTCCTCCTGGCTTGCAGTCATCATAGGTCTGACATTTTGGGATAGATTTTTCCTGTACCCCTTTATCATATTACATTTATTGTGCTATATACAGACTGATCCTTCCTTCCCAAGACCTCAGCTACCTGTGAAGGCAATTCTGCTTTTGCACCCATCTCCATCCCTTGAATTTCCCATATTTGTTTCAGGTGAGATCTGGATTGCCTCCTGTATCCTGTGTGGGCTCTGTGGTGCTACGTGGCTCGTACGGCTTCCTTTTATGGTTTGTTTATTCCCTGGAACCATTCCATGTCATGTGATTTCTCTTTCATCACCCTTATGTTTGGGGTTTGTCAGCTTATTAGGATGACTTACTCTTCCCTTTCCTGGGAAGGGCATCATCTTTATTATGTCTCAACTCATTGGATTCAACATCTCCCCATGTCTCTAGCAGCTCATTTCGTCATCCTCCCTATACCTTGTCGCTCATTACCTACACCATCTGGCTGTGTACTTCTCTGTTGGATGTTATCTACCTCCTGTGGTGATTCTACATGCAGCTGTTCGACTCTAACTTGAGTAAATGTTTCTCTCAGGAACTTACTTTTTCTTCAGTATATATTTCGCAAGATCACTAGCAGCTTACCTTGTGGTATGTATCTATTTCTCACGATGTAGAATGCTGATAATTACCTGGCAGACTATCACTCATGGACTATCATGAGTAAAGCAGAAGGGGATATGCTGCCCATTCGGGTTGCTCCTTTGATTGAATAAATCAGGAGCTGTATACTTTTCAGAAATAGGGTTTAGCTGTCATCCATTGCACTTTCAATGGTGTGACATTCTTTGGACTTCCCCAACACCTTTTACTCCACCCTTTCTCGAGTGGAGTTTGGGAGTCCTTGCCACTTACCCGTTCCTAGCTGCTGGGGTGTTGGTCCTTAGAGGCTTCCTCATGAGTGTCAACCACACATTATAACATTACATGTCACCCTCCTTCTTTTTATTCCCTGGAGGTTTAATTCCAGGTGTGCTGATGTTTGTGGGAGCTGGACCAGTCAACGATGGATCCTCCTCCTAATACCAGATTCAGGTGAACAGTGCCATATTCCTACAGTTAAAACATAGATGTTTCCCTTCTTGATAATTCTTATTGCAGGATGTTTCATTTCCCAGCTCCTGTGGATGAGCTCGGGATTTCATCTGCATTGTAATGCCAGTTGCGGGACATATGATGCCCTGTTCCTACAGTGCAAGATGTTTTTTGGTGCTCTTATGGTTGAGATAGAATTGTTATTTTTGTGCTCGTAATATCAGGTACAGAATGATTCCCTGTTCTTATGGTTGAGTTGAGGCTTATACACAGCCCCATAAGTCTGGGTTTGGTTTGTTATACTTCCTGTCTCCTACAGTTGATTTGGAAGTTTATCTGGGGCATGCCATTTACTTACTTCATCATAATTCTGGTTGCTTGCAGTATAGCACTCTGCTTACTTGTAGGAGGGGTTGGTGTATATATCACTAACAGTCTGCTTCCCCTGGCCACCATACACTGAATC